GGTAATTTTAACAAAATGAATGCTGATGAATAAAAATTCATTTTTAACTAAGAATTATCATTTAGATAGAGTATTTTGTTACTCTCCTTCTTTAGGATAAATACCTAGTTACTATGTTATTTATCTTGTTGCTGTAAAAATGTTATATTTTCATCTGTCATTCATGTAGCAATCAACAGGATATTTGTCCTGATTCATATTCACTTGGGTTCTAGCGGATAACAGTGAATCATATGTTTGATTAATAGGTGCAATAGACATGATTTTTGAGAGGTAGCATATACCTAATTTTTTTACGAACTGAGCTGTATCCATTAGAAGTGGTGAACAGGTAAAATTAGGGACTTAGAAACTCGGGATAGTTATCATCACTGATCCTCTGGAGAGAAAGCTGAGGTCTTATCCTTCTCATCTGCTAGACTGGTGCACAATGAAAGGTGGAAATGAGCTGTGTAGATCTCCTAATTGTAAGAGCAGAATGTTAGTCTGCCAAAAAATGGTTCTTTGAAGATAAAAAATAGATAGAAGAGAATTTCCATTCACAAATGCCAAGGGGATGAGGTCCCTAAGTCTTCTCCAAGCCCAAGTTTCTTCTCGAGAATTTCTTAATACTTGATCATATAGTTCAATTAAATTTTAGATGTGATACCTTATAGCCCTATGTATGATATCTAGAAATTTTATCCCAAATCCCTATTTAGGCAAATTAGCTTCGATTTGTCCTATATCAGTTGGTGTCAAACTTAGAAGTTCTTCCTCCAATTACCTACTATACTGAAACAACCTCAAAATCCATCTAAACACCAAAAACAGAAAGAGGAGAGGGGTGGGGGAAGAAACAAAAACAAAAACAAAAAAATACAAAACAAAACAAAATCACAAAACCTAAATGCTCCAAACAGTTGCCAGGCTGTTTGCCAACCACCGTAAGGCAAAGGCAATGATTGAAGCAGCTGCTACCACAATCCTCAGGAGGCCCCAATATTCAACCCCTAAAAGTTCTGTTGCAGCGTGCCACTTATTGTCGCAAGCTCCCAAGTCAAACATCTTCCGATCTCTTTTCTGCACATGTCTCACATTGACCTCGGATCTGCAAACCTCTTATCCAGTCAAGTTGACAGATTAAAGCTCGCTTGTGATTGTACAATCCAGAAGCTGACGCGTGAGCCACATGCGTGCTCAGCAGCGAGTAGGGCTTGCTAAATCAACTCTGTTTGACTTCATTGAGCCTTGATTTGACAAGACTGATTTCCTTGACCGTTTCCTACCTCAAACATACTAGTATAATGCTAGTTCAACAAAAATTTCAGCCTCAATAATGGTAACTAACATTTAATTAAATGCTAGGCAAGATGCATTCAAGGAAACTGCTAATGGAAAACTTGACAAAATGCAAAACACAATCCATGCAATCTTGGAAGATCTAAGACACTTGCGTACTACAGAAGTAGCTCTGCCAATTCAAAATATGTAAGTTGCACATGCACTATTTCTGATAGAAAATATGTTTGAAGATAATGCCAGATAATTAATAAGGTAAAGGTCATAGCTTGTGGTTTTAATGGAAGAGAAGATCCAATTTTTTTCCCGATTGGACTAACTTAATGGATTTCAACTGGTATTAAATGTCAGAGACAAGAAGAGTTAAATTTGTGAAAACGAAATTAGTTGGACTCGCAGAACATGATGGTACAACATGTAATGAGATGAAAGTCATTTTTTGTAAAAAGAATTTACCTTTCAACTTATTTGACAAAATTCATAATCAAGCTTACATTTTAATTCAGGACAACAATTGAGTACATGCAAAAGTTGAGAAATTAAATATTTAGCCTCGTTGGTTGAAGATGATAGTCAAGCAGCATTCAAGCTAGGATTAAGAGCTTATAATTGATTCAATTGCTTTTCATAGCACCAACTTGCCGAGTTTTTTAGACATGGAAGAATATTTGAAATATCTAGTTACAACAAACATTGAGTTTCCAGTCATTTCTCTTAAGGATAGATTTAAATCAAAGAGTAAGGTAAAGAATGGATCGATGTCAATACCCAAGGCTCCTTCTAGATGTAAGAAAAGTGTTTGTTTTATGTGTGGACAGAGTGGACACATGAGTTACTAATGCCCAAAGAACAATACTTGTATGTTGGAGTGGAGGAGGAGATGCAAGCAAGAGATGATAGTTATGCATTAAGGATGATGATTTAGCTCCTAGTGAACAATTAAATACCTTTCTTTTGCCTGTAGTAAAGTGCATATTAGCAAACTCTATAGTGGAGAAGCAAGAAGAACGACCAGATGCTTCTATTCCCAAGATCTCTTCCTAGAAGACAACTCTATGTTGGTTACATGCAGAGAGACTTGACAGGTCATTTGTTCAATATGTTATTTTTATCCTCCTGTCAGAATTTTACACTCCTAAACTATTCTGTGTATCCACTACTTAGTATTGAAAAGAACTTTTCAACCAACATTCTTATTTGTTAATAATATTTAAGGATAAGATTACTGACTTTTCTTGTTTTGGGGCTAAAACACATGATTTCTTTTAGGGATTTCTTTTCTATTCTACAGAGAGACTGAATTGCAATCTTATATTAATATTTTCTTTTCTGTGTTATTTTAGTTTACTTTTTGCTTATGCTACTTACATTAAATTTCCTATTTCTTCTTCTAATAAAATTTTTTTACATAAAAAGGCAATATGCATTGTGTCTTTTCTCTTCATTCTTTTTATTCCTGATGATCGGTTACAGTAATCTTTCTTGCACTTTACATACCTGTAGAAGTGCTTTGCCAAATGCTGTTAGATCTATTCTGGAAGAGGGAATAAATCTTTACAACCTTCACACCAACAGACATGGAAGGTATGGCAGAAGTCATGACATATCATAGAGATTTCAAGCACTTTTCTTTCTTTGATGCACATGGACTATTTCAGGCTTGGTATGCATTTGATATTTGCATATGAATAATCTTTTATTTGGATGAAATTTATTGATAAAATTAGTGGTGAGGAAATAGTAACTTAAGATAGCATTTAGTAGTGTCAAAACATAGCTTTGGATGGATGCAAAAAGAAATACCTTATTAATTTGTTTTTAGTGCACCAAGAACAAGATAAGAAGTACTATTGTATTTTTTTTTCCTCAATAAATATACACCAGTTGTGGACAATGCCAGGGTCTTGGGAGTATATTAGGACCAAGAATTAATAAGGTTGTTTCTGTTTGGTAATATTTTTTTCTTGTCAATTTTCAGTAGGTAGGACATCAATTTTGTCTCTATTTTTTCAGTCATGGTAAATTAATTATCATTTCCATATAATTAATAATGATCTCCTTTGTACTTAAAGCTCAATATCAATGAACATAAGCTGGAATAACATAATATAACAGGGATGAGTTTTCAATTTAAATGTAGAAAGTAAAATTGGCAATGCAATATAAATGGGATAAAGATTTAAATAAAAATAATATTTTAATTCAAGTGGATTCCTTGTGCAACTCAAGGTAAAGTTTTTCTAATTCTTCCTCTTATAATGAGAATATTTAACTTTGCGTCAAATAAATAAATTATGAATAAATTTTATATATCAAATAGATATAAAAATTTGAGGGGAAAAATAACCGGTACGAATAGTCTGCTAGTTTTGCCTTTCATTTTCTACTAAATGGTTCTTGTTTTGGCCCATCTGAGTTTCCAATTCAAGTCCCATGGTTCTCCTTGCTTCTTAATCTTTACTTGTGCATTTTTGTATTATTGTGTCCGTAGATTGGATTCGACAAAGGGATCATACGCTCAAGAGTGGACAAAATGGGAGAAGCGGTTAAGGCAGGTTCTAACTGACAACACAGAGTATCTAAATTCAGTTCAGGTAAGTGTCCATTTGTTTTCACCCTTGTTTTGTTTGCTTTTTCTGGATGGTTCATGGCAAATTCTCCATAAAATCCATTACATCATGTTGATGATATAAAGTTGCATCCTGTATACTTAATGACCCTAGTTTTAACATGTATTTTATGGATTTACTGTGCTCTTTGTTTTCAGGTTTCATTTGATTTTGCTGTTAAGCAAGTGTTAGAACAACTAAGAAATATTGTGAAGGGCGAATACAAACCACCAACACCAAGCACTGGGAAGAGAAAATTTGGGAACATTGTTTTTGCTGCCGTCAGTTTACCTGCTACAGAAATCCAAAGTCTACTTCATAAGGTGAGGATACAAGCTTTCTTTCCATTTTTCTCTTGATCTATATGAAATATAAAATAGGATTTGGTCCATTTTAGATGTTGAGCTATCACTGAAATTTCTTGGATTATCTTGGAACTTAGGGTATGTTTGAAATAGATACAGAAATTCTGTGGAATTTATCTGTAAATCTGTCTTCATTTCAACTTGAAAATTTGAGAAAAAATTTTCTGATATGATAAAACTTAATTTAATATGAAATTTCATGTAAAATTAGAACAGTTGTTTATCTTCGACTAAAATTTACATCATGTTCTTAACCAAGACTATGCCGAAACAAATTCAAAATTTGTAGAATACATTTGTAAACCTATTAACTATAAGATTTTGAACATCTTTCATGAAATAAAATAAAAAAATTAACTCAATGCAAAATCTCATCTGAAATTGATATAATGCATTTCAGATTTCATTAATTTCAATCATATCATGATATAATTTACACACACTCCTAATTAAACTGAAGTATAAATTTACAAATGAATTTCATGAAAATTTTCTGGATTTGTTCCAAATTTGTTTCAAACATCGCCTTGCATTTTTTACTTTCTAGTGCACTCCTGGCACGGCAGGGTATGATTGTTATCGGTTCTATATTTGATTCACATGGAGACTCTACTTATGTTTCTTCTCTGCAGGATTCTGTACTTAAATGATTACATTAAAGCAAGCTAATTTTTGCAGATGGCCGAGAAAGACTCAAAAGTGGAAACCTTTTTGAAGGATAAACAAATGGAGCACAGCCTTAAGAAAGCTCATGTTACTCTTGCTCACAAGAAAAGTCATGGCGTTACAGCAGTGGCTAGTTATGGCGTCTACCTCAATCAAAATGTCCCTGTGGAATTTAATGCTCTTCTCTTTACCGATAAAATGGCAGCCTTAGAAGCCCAACTTGGTTGTGTTGATGGGGAAAAAATTATTTCAAAAAACCAGTGGCCTCACGTTACTTTATGGACTGCAGATGGAGTTCCACCCAAGGAGGCTAACTTATTGCCACAATTGCTTTCAGAGGGAAAGGCAACCCTCGTTGAAATCAAGCCACCGGTCACCATAACTGGGAAATTGGAATTTTATTAGCTCTCTCTCTCTCTACATGTGTGTGTGTGTTATGCACACATACCTGGCGCTTATAAACCCGTAAGGTGGAAGAGTCGTTGGTAACTTGGTATAGATTTCTTTTTACCATTAGATTCTCTTTTATAACGAGATCTAACGGTCAAAAAAGCAATAAGTAAGAAATGATCATTCAGTTGGATCCCTTCAAAATATAGTTTCATGTCTTTTATGAAATGGGTCTCAGGTACTTGCGAAGTTAATACCCATGTCATGAGATTTTGGGCTCTGGTAAATTGCTGAGTGAAGGGAAAAGTTTTGGCAGGATAGCATCTGGTTGATGACAAATCGTGTATAGGATTTGGAACAGAACAGATTTTGTTGAATTTTTCTGGTTGCAAAAGAATGGACTAATACGAGTGGGGGAGTATATGTTGTCGTATCTATATATTTTTTGCTATAAAGTACAGTGATTGTATCAGATTCTGACTCCATGAATGACCAAAATCTTTAAGACTCGTAAGGCTTCATTAGTTAGTAGTTTTTGTTTTATATACTCTTGTACATAAATACTTTGCTTCCCAAAATCATATGATAAGTTCAAATTCTTTTAAAAAGTCATATCATTTTGATTACATAATTTTGAAAATTGAAGTCAAAAGATTTGAGTCATGGCAGTATAATTCTTCTCTTATAAATATTTTTCCATTCCAAACAATGAGAAAAACATACATCAAAACCTCCATATAAACACTCATTAACAGTTCCATGCCAACTACATGTCAGAATTTTGGCAGTTAAGGAGATTGCAGAGCTATTTAGGTCCGACTGTATAACATTCTAATCATTCAAGTTTGAATTATATCTTTCGTTTCGTCTTTTGAAAAACCATGCGAGTATTATACAAATTTCAAATTACTAGCAGAACAACTGGCCTCGAGACCATGGCTTGCGTCATTGAAATCCATAGGAACTTACTATCGGGAGAACGTCAAAATGGTTTAAGCTCAGCAAAGTATGATTGTCTCTTCTATCCTCAAACTTTTTGGAAACGAGGAAAATTTCCGTACAAAACAGGGGTGAGTTTCAAAAGGGGAATGGTACAAAAAATTGTGATAAAGCCATAAGAGACACTAAGCAATTGCTCGTCCAAAGCTTTGAGCATAACATGCAAATACGGAAGGGAGGCGAAATCTTTACAGGTATGAGCACAATGCGCAAATGCGGCGAGGAGAACAAATCTTTACAGGTATATCACTTGCTCTGCTTGGTAGCCCACTCACCAATTGGAAACCAAGAGATCAAGGAGAGTTTCCCAATTATTGAATTTGCACCTCCTAGGTTAGCCAATTTATTGAACAGAATAGGCTTCTTCTACTTCTAGACTTGGAAGGATTGCTGTCGCCTCACCATCAAGAACAAGGACCTCACCATTCTTGAAGCACTTTGTCAACAATTTTGCTCTGCATTTCCATATAATCAACAGCCAGATAACTAGAAAGCCAGAAAACTCTGCAGGTGCCATTGCATAAAAAATAGATTTCGATATTTCTCATATTACTACTATGAAAAAAAAAAATTCATTAACAGCATGATTCAACGGATGCATTTTGTCTTACATGTACTTGTTGTTGTTTCCTCTTAAAGTGACTGCTTGTATCTCAGCAACAATTTTGTCTCCAATATAAACAGGTAACCTAAAATGCAAGCTCTGGGACACATAGATAGCTCCAGGCTGAAAAGTACATGTCATTGAAGTTAAATTAATCTTCTTTAATGTCTTGCATCAAAAGGTCTACTAAAATTAGTTCATACTTTCTTTTTAAAAAAAAAATAAAAAGAAGGAAGATCCTACTTGAATCAGAATGGACAGAGTTTACAAACAAATGAGAACTGTAAGAAGAACAATTATAGATGAATAGGCAAATTAAAATTTCAGCTTTTATGGTTTAGCTTTAGTGCAATTCAATACATATACTTTGACCTTGACATCAATTCTGCTGGTAACACGAATTCTAACCTTGACCTTTTCACTTGTCTTAAAAACATACTTTTCCTCATATAAATAAAAAGAAAAAAGCCTGTATGGGTAACTTACAAAGTGAGAGGAAATGATCTGAGGAAATAATGAAGCAACAAGCATCCCATGAACGAGTCGATCCTCGAATCCAGCACTTCGAGCAGAATAAGAATCAAAATGAAGTGGATTGCAATCATGACTCACCTTAGAATATTCAAGAACATCCTCACTCGAGAATGTTCTTGTGTCCTTTAAAGTGTCGCCAACTTTAAGTGTGTGCGATGACAATGATGAAAAGCCCCTCAAAGTACTACTACAGAGAACTCTCTTGACAAGCATTGTTGTAGAGATTCCTAAAGAGTTACCTTGTTACTTTTTCTCAGAAAAACAGAAATTTCTCAATAAACAGAAAGAACTGGCAAAACAGAAAAAGTAGTTGACTGATGCATAATGGATTATGCCAAAATAGATAAGAATCTATAATTCTTTTAAATGTAAAACTACTATACTATTTAGGAATCCATATGATTGATGAGTATTACTATACTATTAGTAACTTAGGATTTTTATTTTTATTAGTATTTCCCTATCTGTATTAGGATTAATACTCCTAATATTATTAGTATAGTCTTTTGTTCTTATTAGTTTAATATTCCTAATTCTACTAACTTATCATTTCTTATTTTAACTAGGAAATGTTACTTAAAGATTATTATAAATACCTTTATAATTTCACTTATTAAAGTATTCAAGTATTCGATAATATTTTGAAAGTTTTTCAGTTTTCCGGTTGTATGATGCAACCAAACTCTTAAAAGTGATGTTTAAGTATGGTATCTAAGTTTTTACTTCCCAAATCCCTGAATAGATAAATCAACAATATTTGTCCTAGATCATTGACAGTACCTTAACCCATTTCTTCCACCATTTTTCTTTTGCACCTACAACCAAAAGAGTAGAATAAGAGATATTACTATGACTTATTATACAAAGAAAAGCAATTAGTAGATGTAAACTAGTCCATCTAGCTAAGGATAATCCTCCTACAACCAAAAAAGTAGAGCAAGAGATATTGCCATGAATGATTATACAGAGAAAAGCAAGTGGTAGATGTAAACTATTCTCTCTAGCAAGCATAATCTTTCTAGAACAAAAGAGTAGATTAAGAGATATTACAATGAATAAATATACAAAGAAAAGGAATTAGCAGATGTAAACTAGTCCATCCAGCAAGCTATAATCTTTCTACTACCACATTACAACGTTAATGTTGTGGGAATTTCCTATGGTGCCTCAAAAGGCACCATGCCTTTGGTAATATATTTTATAATCATCCAATAATTTTGTGTAATAATCACAC